TTTTGGGATTTTTTTTACCTGGATGACTGAGCGTGCATCGAGACGTGTCACAAAAATAATTGAAAAATTAAATAATATTTCAGACATTGTGTTTTAGTTTTATTTATTTTTGTGCCCCATAGGTTCAGGACTCTATAACTGTCCCAGACAGACTTTTATCCCTTTCTACATGTCCCTGTATGGGATCATACCAGTGTTCCTGGCACTGAGCTTATGGTACAACTGGTGCAACACTTTCTGTTGGTCCATGACCATCATCTTCCTGTGTGGCTGGTTACTTGCAGGTAAACTTCAAATTTTTCTAACACCAAAGTAAACAGAGCAGGAAAAGTAAATAACAAGATGATTAGTTTGAAAAAATTGAGAATTTCACTACAAGGCCTGGACATTGTCCTTGTGAGTACAGGGAGACAAAAACATGAGCAAACCTTTGAAATAACAAGGTCACATATGTAAAATTCCTCAACTTGGTTAGAAGTTTCTGTCATCGTGCACTTTAGTTTCAGGCATTTTGGCATTTTTGATTATTCTACCTAACGATGACCTCCCTCACTTGCACTAAGATTTATCTGGCCTCATATTTTAAATTACAGTGAACAGCTATAACAAAACGTAAAAAATATAACAATTTTATGTCTGCTTCATTTGTCATGAAATAACAAAGGGAACAGGTCTTATCAGTAAATCAGTCGATTTATTTGTAAATTAAACTGATCATATACGTCACGCAGTACTAGCTCCTTTTGGATATATAAGGAGAATACACAATGTTAAATGACCAAGAGCTGTTGTAATTTTTTGCTAATAAAACTGAATTGAATTTAACAGAAATAAATATTTCTTGTTTTCCCTGGATTTTTTTTTTTTTTTACAATTTTAAAATAAACTAATTACAGAAGCATTTTGAAAAAAGCTTGAACCCAGTTCTGCATTTATGTAGAGGCCGTGCAGGTCCATCACTCTCATTCTAATTTGAGATCATTTTTTATATTCTTCCAGGTAATATAGTCATCTACTCCATTTATGAACCCAACTACAACAAGAATATGACACAGCCTGATGTCTACTGCAACAAGACGCTCTACCTGTTCGCGTTTTGTTTCACCGTTGTGACCTACATCCTGTTAGCACTGCTCTTTTTATCTTGTTGCTGTTGTAGACAACGACAGCCCGATGGTGACAATGACACTCAAAGACTTGTGCTGTGGTTAAATAGAGATAATTAAAACAAGACAACAATTATGGCAGATGGTGCATTTAAAGACAGTTTTCCTGTGTGTCAGGATGTGTCAGGGTATATACCATGTGCATTCCACAACACTCTTTTAATATGTAAAAATATCCTTTGATAAAGCAAGTTTTAGAGTTGAGCACAACTTTATGTGACAGGAAGATGTGTCTGTGGCTGGACACAAACCACTTACTGTCCTGTTGCAGAAAGAGCAGCATTGTGTTTGCAAATAAGTCATGAAACAGTTTCTCCTCGTGTTCTTTATCATTAACATATCATGCTGTGCAGGAGTCTTGAGCCACCCCTTTTTGTTTGCATTAATATGTTTATTAAGACATGCAAACATACATAGAAATACAGCATATGAGGTAAAAACAGAATCTGTATAAAGTCAATATTTGGTGTGATCATCTTTATTCTTCAATACAGTCTGCAATCTCTCAGTCAAGCTTTCTTATTATTTCTTCAAGTAGTTTTCAGGAATAGTTCTCCAGGCTTCTTGGATTCCAAGCTCTTCTTTGGATGTTGGTTGGATGATTTATAGGTCACTGTTGTTGTCATACTATCATGATCACCATCGTCAAGCATGGTTTTCTGTCAGATACAGGGACTGCACTGAAAATGAGTGAAAAAGCAGCCAATGAAAGACCTTCAGAAAACCTGGAGAACTATTTCTCAAGACCACCTTAAAAATTACAATTAAAATCTGGCTCCTTGGGAAACGTTTTTTAAACATGAGGGTTGGCTCAAGTCTTTTGCACTATATATATTACATGATGTAATTAAATTTTAATAAAATGTATCTACATGTTAATTTATTGTCTTTGAATAAAAATAAATGAAACATTATGTCAATATTTCCTGTCCTTTTATTGGCTGATGCCGTCTTTTCCAGCCTGCTTCCTGAATAATATGAAATGACAATTTTCACAATAAAAGCAGGAGATGCATTTTATAAAAGCAAACTTTGTGCTGCTGAGAAACATGTGGCATTAAATTCTTGAGGTAGAGGTCCGAGAGGGTTAGGGCAATTGAGAGGAAGTGTTGTTATCTTAAAACAAAAGCCTGTCAAAAGTGTGTTTGTATTTACAGAAGCTGTTGTGTCTGCAACGTCTTCTGCTGATAGTAAAACTATGAGAAAAGAAGAACCATGGCCTACTGTTTTTCCTTGACAGAGACATTGTCGGTGGTTGGCCACGTTTTTGCACTGATCTGTGACGCAAACAGTTCTTTAGGAACCTGAAACCTAAACTACGTTCAAAACCTTAAACTAATACTAGGAGAAAACAGCTTACAGTTTCTTAAAAAACTGAAGCAAGGAAAATATATTTGCGATTTTGTACTTTCAAATAAAGAATTATTTAAAAGAGTAAGTGGCTGTACTTATTAATGATGAAATTATATAACTGTAATGGGAAGGCAAGATAAAAAGAGAACAAGTAGTAACGTGAAACACTGTAAGAGGAAGTTGAAACAATATCATGACCACACGGCCACATTCACTGTGCTCATGTTCTTGCGACAGTCCTTTTCTGCATCTTGAAATGTGTCCGGTCAGACACACAATGCTTACTATTTTGACACGTGCACAAAGTCTTCAGGGTTTTTTAAATTGAATTTTTAGGATGCTTATTTCTTTAAGCCGATTTAGTGACACTTTTTTCTTTTGTTCTTGTTCCCGATAGCTTCCAAAACTGATGTATGTCAAAAAGAGCCCTTTACTCCCATGTGCATCCTCAGTTACTGAATCATGTCTGCATTCATGGCACTGAGCGTGTGCACAGCTCCAGGACTGCAGCGCCAAATGGTGCAACATTGTCTGTTGCTCAATCCCGATTGTGTTCTGCTGTTGCTGGTTCCTTGCAAGAAAAAAACAAACAAAACAAAACATATTAACAGCAGTAGATACCTGCTTTAAAAATATTATTTACAGACTGCACTGCCAGAATAACCAACAACATATAGACTGTGTATATATACATTTATTTATTACATTTAGAAAATAAATGCCTTAACCTCCTAAGACCTGAACTCTTCCACAGCATGCATTTTTAATTTCTCTTTGATATTTGGGCATATTGGGGCCCGATGAATGTAAAAACAA